CCCCAAAACCCCAAAACCCCAAAACCCCAAAACCCCATTCTAAGATCAGAAAATTGAAAAAAATCTATTGAAATTAATTGTACAAAATTTGAATAATTCATAAATACAGCTGGAATAGACATTATGTTCGTTTAAGAGAATTTAGCCTAAATGGTCAATATGGATTGGCAATTAACTTTTCTAAATTTTATTAGGTTTCAATAAACTTCCTCATTATAGATTCATGATTAATCTTGGTTAAAAGTGTCACAGCAAGTTACTAATCTTTTTTCTCAATGATGTTCTTTGCCAGGGTCTAAATGAATGAGTTTAGCACACTTACCTTGTGTATATAGATGAAATCGGATTTTTCGAAGTTTTTCTGGGCTGAAAAATTCAAATTGAAAGTGTACGTAGAAGGAGGCAATTTAGTCCAGCGTTGCCATGTAACTGTGATATGAAGAGGAATAAGCCCTACAGATAAAGGAAATAGGCTTACCATAGTAAGTGTATTCAGGAAATTGAGAATAGGCCTTTTTGATAGTGGTTGTGAATGGAGCATATTTCATTTGACGAGTACGAGGAGGATCATCAATCCTGAAATCAATGTTTTGGATTAGTGAATTTTCATTAATTTTCGAGTCTTTTAGACAAATGTATAGTCTAGCTTCTCTTTCGAAGATGCTTTTACCAGTGACATAGGGAGTGTGTAGAGTATAACCATAGTCAAAATGAATCTTAATGCTGTTCCTGATCTCTTTGAGCCTTCTAAGTTCTGCTAAATAGACATCATGTGTTGTTTTTCTTAATTCAACCTTTTCAGGATACTTCTTTTCTACAATTTCTCATAACTTCTTAATCACAGGTGGGTTAAATCTCTCCATGACTAACTCAGTTCTTCATACAGGACATGACTTCTCCTCTGCCTGTTCAAGATGGGTGTAAATTCACTTGCTTCAGTAGATATGCTTGCACTTGGTACTGACTGGATAAATAAGAACTTCAGAGCAGATAGAGCAAATATGGGTTTGTGGGATTGATTCCATTTAAAATTATTAAGTAGTTTCAGGATTTTGTGCTTTATGTGGGGTTTTGGGGTTTTGGGGTTTTGGGGTTTTGGGG